AGGGGGGGGGAGGAGGGGGGAGGGGTTTGTGCGGGGAGAAGGGTGCAACAATGAATGAATGGAATTCCAAAATCTCTGTAGTTATTCATTGAAATGAAAAATAAACAACCTAAATTTAAAAAAAAAGAAAAACCACTACTGGTTTCTCAGCATCTGTGAGTCCGCCGCTGAGAGGCAGGCCGGGCTTGTCCTCCAAGGTGGCGCAGAACTGGAAGGTAAAAGCCGTCGTTCAGGTTTCTCATGCATCGTCTGAAGGACACTGCCAACACTTTTCTGAGACGTCGTCAGTTCTTCAAATTCACTTGAGTACTTTGAACATTGCACCCCCTGGCAACAGGTTCTGGGCCCACTTCCCAGTCCTCACAGACTTGTTTAAGGACATTCACAGAAGCTGACTTCCTTCGGTGAGGTTCCCTTTGATGGAGGTTTTCTTGATGTGGGTGCCCACAGAGCAGGTAGCAGGTGAAGCGCTGAGATACATTTTTAATGAAATGTAAACACTTATTAGATGATACAGATTTTTATGTAATTGTTGCTGTTAGGGTCCTTTCATCTGAGTACAACGTATAGCAGATCTCTGGACAACAGACCTCAGACCTGAGCCCTGTCTTGTCCTGTGCCAGTCTTGTGATCTCCACCACACTGGAGCCCATTGCTGCAGTCACCATGTCAGTCCATCTGCTTGAGGACCTTCCTCTTTTAGGTGGACACGTTGCTCCTCTCCAAGGAACAGTCTGTCCCAGCAACATGCCCAAAATCCATGAGACGAAGCCTCGTCATCTTTGCCTCTGAGGAGCCTCCGGCTGCACTTTCCCCAGGACACACCTGTGTGTTCTTTTGGCCACGCATGGCTCTTCAGCGCTTCTCTCCAACAACACACTTCAAAGGCATGACTTATTCTCCTGTCGCCTTTATTTATTCTCCAGTCTCAGACGCATAGCAAGTGAATGAAAGACCATGACTTGAATCAGATGCACCTTCGTCTCCAAGTTGACATCACTGATTCTCAGTTATTTAGGGAGGCACCTGACACTGACTTTCCCAACACGATACGTTTCCTGATGGCTTGCCTACCAAGTTTGTTGATTGTGGATCCAAGCAAGATGAGGTTTCTGACAGTTTAAATCTTTTGTCCCTCTATCATGTTGGTGCTTATCAGTCAGTCTAGCGGTGAGGGTTTTTGTTTTCTTGGTGTTGGGATGTAATCCATATTGAAGACCGTAGTCCTTGATCTTCTACTGCAAACATGTCAAGTCCTCCTCACTTTCAGCAAGCGAGGTTGTATTATCTGCATAATACAAGCTGTTGATGAGCCTTTCTGATGCCACATTCATCTTCAAAGAGTCCAGCTTCTTGAATGATTTGCTCAGCATACAGATTGAATAGGTGTGAAGGGAGGATACAGGCTTGACATACACCTTTCCTCATTTTAAACCCTTGCTAAACTTGGGCCAAGCTTCTTGGTGCAGCTTTAGGTTCTGTATGAGCATACTTCAGTGTTCTGGCATTCCCATTCTTCTGTTATTCATAATTTCCTGTGATCTGCACAGTCAAAAGCCATTGCGCAGTCAATAAAACACAAACAGACATTTTTCTGGCGTTCACTAGTTTCAGCCAAGATCCATCTGACCTCTTTAATGATATTCCTGGTGCCACAGTTTCTTCTAAAGCCCACTTGAACTTCTGGCAGTTCTCTATATACTGCTCCAGCTGCTTTTTTGTTTGTTTTTTAGTGATTCTCAACAATACTTGGCTTGCATATGATAATGATGATTCTGTGTATTCCCTCAGTCTTCTTTTGGTGCTTTCTGAATCATTCAAGATTTTGCGCATAGCATCTGCTTTGAATTTGGTTTTCAGTTATTTTAAGTTGAGAAACGCTAGCTGCGTTCTTCCCTCTACTCTTCAACCCCAGGTCTCTGCACATTCTGTCAGAGTCCTTCATTGCTACAATTGCTGTTGTCAACCATCAAGATGGAACCTACTCATAGCTGATCTCAAGTGGGTTTTCAGAGGCAGTAAATCAGACGAGAGGAGACTGCCCATCCTTCCCCCGCAGAGCCGCTGGTGGATTCACACTACGTGGCTTTACGATTACAGCACTTACTGGGACATACATCCCAAGAAGTCTCAGGTACTGGGGTTGGTGGGGAGAGGTCCACAGACCACCACCAGGTGGCAGCATGTATTGCTGTGGGATGAGAGTGTCCCATGAAACCTCAAGGTGAGAAATGAAGGCAGACACAAAAGTATTACAAGAAAATTTGCTTCCTTCTGATCTGAAGCCTGCCCAGTGTTCACGTCTGTTGATTATGGGGTCGCACCTAACAAGGACTTCATTAGATGAAGGGACACGAGGTGATGCCTACACCCCACAATGCTTGTCAGTCAGTCCAAACATGGACATGCACAAATGTGTCCACTACTCCCCTGCCCACTGACCTCTGGGCACTCAAAGCCAAGCCTCTCCCTGCCCCAGCCTCGCACTATCTTCTCCCCGCCCTTGGCAGTCGGTGGTCAGTGGGGAACTTTGCCTGGCTGCAGTCCTGATGTGGCCTTTGTGGTCACAGATCACTCTGTCAGCTTCCCCCACATCTGTCCCCCCTTTCTTCCTGTCCACTGGCCCCTCGAGTTGAGCTCCAGACAGACCAGCTTCTTATGTCAGAACATACTGTATGAAGCAGCCTATAAATGCCCCTGAATGGCTGTGCTGAAGCCCGGCTGGTTGAGTTCTTACTGGACTTGTTCCCGTGGGGCTTGTCTGCGTGAAGGACTCTGGACAAACGACTCTCCCCTTATTCTTCTTAACTATGCGTGAAGAACTAGCTGTAGATCAAGTCCGTCACGGGTTTCCCTTTAGATGAACCTTGTATAACTTTACTATTTTCTGTCAGCTGGTGTGACTGTTAACTTGCTCATGTGTGTGGGATTAGTGTGTGTAAGGGAGTTAGTTACTCCCCACCCTCAGCAGAGTCTCTTGCGGTCCGGTCTGCTGGCCCTGGGTCCTTGCAAGACTGCTTCTCCTAGTCTGTACGATTTCTTCTACAGCAACAATATGGATTACATCTCAACATCAAGAAGACCAAAGTCCTCACCATTGGACCAAAAGGTGACATGTAAATAGAGAAAAGATTGAAGCTGTCATAACTTCATCTTGCTCTCTCGTCCAGCCGCCCAGGACACTGAAGAGAAAGAAAGTCGAGGGGAACACGGCGGCCCTGGTGCCTGCTGTGGTCAAGAAGCAGGACACCAAGGAGGTGGGGATCCACTGTTCGAGAAAAGGTCCAAGAACTTTGGCATCGGGCAGGACCCATCCCAAAAGGGACCTTACTGCCTCTGTCAGATGGCCCCACTACATCCAGCAGGAGCGGCAGAGGGCCATCCTCTACAAACGACTCAAGGCGCCACCGCCATTAGCCAGTTCACCTAGGCCTTGGGCCCCAAGACCGCTCCTCAGCTACTGAACTGACCCAAGACCAAGCAGGAGGAGAAGCAGGGGCTGCTGGCCCAAGCTGAGAAGAAGGCTGCTGGCAAACGAGATGCCCTCACCAAGAGACCCCCGTCCTCCGTGCCAGGGTGAATATTGACCCCCACCCCGGTGGAGAACAAGAAGGCCCAGCTGGTGGTGATCATACACGACGTGAACCCTATCGAGCCGGTGGTCTTGCTGCCAGCCCTGAGCCGTAAGGTGGATGTTCCCTACCGTGTCATCAAGGGCAGGGCCGGGCTGGACCTCCTCGTCCAGTGGAAGACCTGCACCACAGTGCCTTCACGGAGGTGGGCCTGGAAGACAGAGGCTCTGGAGAAGCTGGTGGAAGCCATCAGGACCAATTCCAATGACAGAGATGATGAGGTCTTTTGCAACTGGGGAGGCAAAGGTCTGGGGCCCAAGTTGGTGGCTGCATCGCCAAGCTGGAGAAGGCCAAGGCCGAAGAACTCACCATCGGCCTGAGCTGATGTCCATGCTGACTTTTCTGTACATAAGGATAGACTCGTTCCGCTGTCTGCCATTTGACATTGTGGGTTGAAAAAAACCAAATTCATCTCACTTTGACCCACCAATTAACACTCTTGGTACCAGCAGTCAAGATATCAAAACACGTGTTGCAGTGCGAAAATCCGCTGTCAAGGACTCTCCAGGGTGAGAAAGAGCAATGGTTCCAGTTTAAAGACTAAAGTGCAGCTGATTCAGTTCATGGCCTTTACAGTTGCCTCCTGTGCATGTGCAGCCTGGGCGTTGAATAAGCACAAGGGAAGAAGCGAGGCCTTTGAGTCGTGGTGCTGGAGGAGAGTGTGCGTGGACTACCCGGAGAACGAGCACATCTGTCCTGGAGAAGGGAGGCCGAGGTGCTCCTTGGAGGCACGATGGTGACACTGCTCCTCACATGCTTGGGCGTGTTGTTAAGAGGAGCTGGTCCTAGGAGACGGACGTCATTCTTGGAGAGGCTGAGGGTCAGTGAAAGAGAGAGGAAGGCCCTCAACGGACTGCCCCAGTGCCGCTCTCAATGGGCTCAAGTGCCAGAGGTGAGGAGGCCGGTGCAGGACCCGGCCGGTGCAGAACCGTTGATCATGGGATCACTGTGGGGTGCAGCCTGAATGACACCTGACAACAATGGAAGAAACGGAAAGGAGTGCCTTTCTGTCCCTAGGTCAGTTTCCGGGCGTCTCAGGGGACGTGGGAGCAGTGACCACAGCTTCCGTCAGAACCACGGCCGTGCTGGCTGAGCCGCAGCTGGTCCGTAGGAGGAGCAGCTGCCCATCGGGGCCCCGCTGGGCTGCTAACTGAGGGTCAGCAGCGAGTCCACCTAGGGTTCTGGGGGAGAAAGCTGAGGCACGCTGCCCCCGATTCACAGACGCGGAAATGGGGAGCAGGGCCTGCCAGAGCAGACTCCACTCAGCACCGGGGGTTTCGTCACCACTTTCTCGTGCAGGGCGGTAGATGGGTTTGGACAGTGACCTTTAGTCAGCAACCCAGTGTTCAGTCACCATGCCAGCAGGGGTTCTCAGAGCTACTGTGGGCCGTGCTCATCCAGCTGCAGTGAGGTTCCAGTTCATCTGAGGAGGGCCAAGTCTCCCCGTTTCCAATGAGTCTGCCCTTGGTCCCCGAGCCCTGTCTGTGATCCGTGGGCAGGGCTGTAAAACATAGATGTACGTGGGGGCCAAGGCCATGGGAAGCGGGGTGACCCCTCCACCTTCCTGCTGAACCCCCATCCTCAGATCCATTTTCAAGGAGTTTCCAGACCTGCTGACCCGTCTCCTAAATGCTCAGGGGGACAGATCAGTGGGCTGGGGGATGTCCTGTCCTGCTGGGGACAGCGCCCTTCTGTGTCTTTGTAGCAGGTTAAAGAAGAGAGAATCGTGGAACTGGAGGCAGAGAACGCGATTCTGCACCTGAAGCTGGCCGAGGTACCCCTTTCTTTCCACTCCATGAGGGTGGGAGTCAGCTTGAAGCTCACGGTCTGTTCTTAGGCTGAGTACATGGTGTTTTATGATCACTACATCACCCGCCCCCAGGTGCAGTTCACCTACTGGGAATGTGTGTCGATTTCCTCAGCTTCACCTCCATACACTGTGAAATGCAGATCCCAAGCCAATCTGAAAGCAGTCTCAGGGACCACTGACTGATGTGGTCCTGTGGGGTGACCCTGCAGGGGATTGAAGAGCAGATTGAGGGTCACTCAAGTCACAGAATCACTTGGGAATGGCCACCATACAGTGAAGTGACCGCTTTGCTCATGTGCTGATAGCAGAAGGCACATCACTGCCTGGCCCACGCCCGAGCCCATGGACACACTGTCGAGCTGACCCATCCCCCTCCCATCTTTTCTGTCACCCCTGCTCTCCTGGGCCTGTGACGGCCACAGACCCAGTGTCCCAAAACTACAGGGAGACCTTCTCACCCAGTTCTGGGGGGCAGAGTCCATTATCCAAGGGTAACTGGGCTGGCCCTTTCGACGGCTCAGAGGGTCCCCTAGCTCCTGGGGCCTGTACACACCTCACTCCAACCCCACTCATTCCTGCTGTTCCCTCCAGGGCCTCAGGATCCTTCCCTTAGGCACGCTACCCATCCTCAACCCCCCATGGGCCATCCCACCTCACCCTGCACCTCCTCCCACGGCCCAGCCCACCTGCCCTGCTCCCCCTTCTACAACCTGTCCCAGCCCACCTGCCCTGTACCCCACTTCTACTGCCAGGCCCACCGGCTCTGCTCTCCCCGCTATGGCCTATCCCAGCCAATCTGCCCTGTTCCCCCCTCCTATGGCCCAGCCCACCTGCCCTGCACCCCCCTCCTACAGCCAGACCCACTGCCCTGTACCCCCGTCCTATGGCCAGGTCCACCTGCCCTGCACCCCCGTCTTACAGCCAGACTCACCACCCTGCACCCCCTCCTAAGGCCAGGCCCACCTGCCCTGCACGCCCCAGGCTCTGCTCCCCTTCTATGTTCTATCACACTTCACTCACCTCACACCCCTCCTTCTACAGCTTCTCCTCCCTCCCTCACCCTGCACCCCCTCACAGCCCCTCCCTCCTGCAGCACCTCCACTCTCCCTGTGTTGTGGGGACTCTGGAGGTGGGGCCACTTCCCTGTCACAGGGGTCCTGGGGCTGAGTCGTCTGTCTCTCTCCCGACAGTCCAGAGAGATGGTCAGACACAGCCGCAGAGAGGCGGAGTGGGAGAGGCGACGGAGAAGGGAGTGGGCAGCCGCCACCCAGCTCGTGCGCAGCATCCAGGTGAGGGTCAGCGGGGCCTCGTCCCTCCTACCGTCCTGACAGGCCTGCTCAGAGGAATGGGGAGCAGTCTTGATTTTAGGGGTCCTCAGTATGCAGAGTGCTGGAAATCCTGAGGGCTGAGGACCAGACCCATTGCTCTCGCATTGGTTCTGACCATATTGACCCTGAGGACATGAGAGGCCTCTGTCCAGTTTCTGGGGAAAGGGACCCTGAGGGACACAGGACCCAGGAGACCTCTGTCCGGTTTCTAGCCTTCACGGAAGCAGACTCATCTTTCTCCCTTGGATCAGAGCTGCTGGTGGGTTTGAACAACTGATGTTTCTGTGCGCAGCCCAGCACGCACTGCCCTGTGCCGTGGCACCATTCTTCGGGCCTCCTGGTGTGGGTGTCGTTTCCTGACACGCTCTGGCTGGCGTTCTGGCTGCAGGTCTGTTCTCTAGTGCAGTCAGCCTGTCAGGGACGCACTCGCTCTCACTGCCGGCAGGTCAGAACTGTCCCCTTGCCCACTGTCCAGCAGATTTTGCCAGACAGTTAATCTCATGGGAGGAGATTGCTCGTTTTTCTCCATGGAGCAGTTGGTGGATTCGAACCTCCTGCCTTTGGATTGGTATTACAACTCCTTACCCACTAGGCCACCAGACCTCCCCAGAACTTGGTCACATTGTTGCAGTCAGACCTGGGATGGGGAAAGTGAGGCCACTGGTCAGGCCAGCCTCTCAGATCTCCCTTCATGGACACCCACCATCTCTCCAGTGGCTTCGGGTGTCTAGGAGGGCCTCCCCCGGCTGGTGGGTTCCAGCATTGAGGCCGCTCCCCTCTTTAGCCTCGTGTGGACGGCAGAGATGGAGGATGATCTCGTCTGTCAAATTACAGTGACCGTCCCACCCCCCACGCCAGGAAAGAGGCAGCCTCCATGCGAACTTGACCATCGGTGTCCTGAAAGAGGTGCACTTGGCACCGTCCACAGCTGTGGAGGATGTGTTTACAGCCCTGGGGAAGAATATCGTTTTACCTTATGTTGTGAATGACTTCACCAGGATGCAAGGAGGGGGGCAGAACAGAGCCCGACAATAAAAACCCCACCTGTGCTCCGCCTTAATCAGATTGCTTTGTTAGATAAGCTTCCTTTAAAAAGGACTTTATTTAGAACAGCTTTGTATAGGATTATTTTTTTATTCTCTTCCCACAAAGCAAGATTGATCCATCTTTGAATAATGACATAACTATCTTTTAGGCTTTAACACACATTCAATTTCAGTATTTTAGCAAAGGCTTCTCAAATACATGGGACTCTGCCATTCTGTGGAGAAAACACAGTTTCCCTGTTGAAACCTCAGGGGGGTGCAGGGTATCACGTTGGGTGGTGAGCAGGAAACAGGGGTTCTCCAGGTCTTAGCACTACACAGTGTCTTATCTGCAAACAGAAAAATCTTGAAATTGTTTCAGGGAAGAGGTTACATTGCATGTCGTTTTTGTTGTTGTTAGTTGTTATAGAGTTGAGTACAACTCATAGCGACCCTATGACCAACAGCCCTGCACTCTCCTAGCCTGTGTCATCCTCCTCATTGCCTGCATGCTCGGGCCCATTGCTGCAGTCACTGTGTCACTACAACTGGTTGATGGCCTTCCTCTCTTTGTTGACCATCTACCTTTCCATGCATAACGCCCCTCTCCAAGGAACAGCCTCTCCTAGCAACATGCCCGGAGTATGTGGGATGAAGCTTTGTCATCTTTGCCTCCCAGGAGCGCTCTGGCTCCACTTTCTCCACGACATATCTGCTTGTTCTTTGGCAGTGTGGGATACGTGGCACGCTTCAACATCACAGCCCAGAGACATCCATTCTTCTGTCATCGTTGGTCACTGCCGAGCTTTCAGACACATAGCAAGTGATTGAAAAGATCATGGTATGAATCAGGGGTGTGTGAGTCTTCAAACTGACATCATTGCTCTTCGATCATTTGGAAAGGTCCCGGACTGCAGACTTTCCCAGTGCAATATACCTCTTTACCTCCTGACTGCTGGTGTCAAGGGCGTTGACTGTGGATCCAAGAATGATGAAGCTGTTGACAGTTTCCGTCTCTTCTCCATCTATTATTATGTTGCCTGTTGGTCTGGTGAGGATTTTTGTTTTCTTGATGTTGAGATGTGTTGAGATATTGAAGGCTGCAATCTTTGATTTTCTGTAACCAGTTGCTTTAAGTCCTCCTCACTTTCAGCAAGCAAGGTTGTGTCATCTTCATAGTGAAAGTTACTGATGAATCTTCCTCTATTCCTAATGCCACATATTTCTTCATAGAGTCCAGCGTCTCCAATCATTTTCTCAGTATACAGACTGAATATGTATGGAGGAATAATACAGCCCTGCCACATGCTAATTTAAAAGCATGTAGTGTTCCCTTGCTCCGTTCACACAACAGCCTTTTGATCTAGGTATAGGTTTCATATGAGTGCAATTAAGTATTCTGGGATTTCTCTTTTCCTCAGTATTAGCCATAATTTTTTATGATCTACACAATCAAATACCTTTGCATGGTCAATAAAGCCCAAATAGACATTCTTCTGGGATTCTCTGCTGTTAGGCAAGATCCAGGATCCATTTGACATCAGCAATTATATCCCTCGTATCATGACCTCTTGAAAATCCAGCTTGAACTTCTGACAGTTCTTTATATACTATTCTAGCCATTTTTCAATAATCTTCAGGAATATTTTGCTTGATAATTTCTGCATTCTTTAAATTACCTGTCATGTGAATGAGAACAAATATGGATTTCTTCCAGCCAGTCAGCCAAGCAGCTGTCCTCCAAACTCCTGGCATAGACTGATGAAGATGTCCACGCAGGGCTTCATTTGTCAGTTAAAACGTGCCAATCCCACCAATTCACAGGGCCTTAGTTTTACCAATGCCTTCAGTATGGCTTGAACTTCGTCCTTTATCATCATTGACTCACGATCATATGGCACTTCCCAAAATATTTCCATGTTGCTCAATTCTTTTTGGTACTGTGTATTCCTTCCATATTCTTTTGATGCTTCTTGGATCATTCGAGACTTTGCCCATAGCACCTCTCAGTACTGCAACTCAAGGCTTGAATTTGTTTCTCTGTTCTTTCAGTTTGAGGAATGCTGAATGAATTCTTCCCTTTTCATTCTCCAATTCCAGCTCTCTACACATTCTATTATAATACCTTGCTTTGTCTTCTGGGGTTGCCCTTTGAAATTTCCCATTCAGCCCTTTTTAAAAAAATTCTTTTAATGAAGATTTTATTATAAGTTTTTCAAGAACTTGGATTTCCATTCATTCATTATTGTACATTTTCCTCCATGCTCTCCTCCTCCCCAGTTATTTTTTTTTCTTTAGAAAAGAAGTTATTTAATTGTTATACAGTCCCTTCCACAGAGCACTTTACTATGCAACTCTTATTCTGGACTCTTGTCACACCAACAATACCTAATTACATATTCCTTTTATACAGTTCTATCCCGTGTCCATGTGAATGCTGTGTATATTATTTATCCCTTATTTTCTTAGTTTCCTCCAAACTGCCTGTCAGTCCTGTTTTATAACAGTAGCATTATACAGTATTTGTCTTTTTGTGACTGAGAATTTTCACTCAGCATAATGTCCTCCATGGTCACTTATTTTATACAATATTTCATGAGTTCGTTTTTCAGTACTGCCTAATATTCCATTGTGTGAATATACCACAGCTTCTCTATCCATTTGTTTGTTGATAGGCACTTGGATTATTTCCAACTCTTTGCTATTTTGAACAAAGCAGCAATAATCATGGGTGTGCATATATCTGATTGGATGACAGTTATGGTCTCTTCGGGGTATATTCCCAGTAGTGGAATTGCTGGGTCAAATGGTAT